AATGAGAACGCTGTCGGCAACGTCAGAAGTTCAAACAGCATCGGAGCCAGTGACCGCCGCTACCGTTGCTTCCACCTACTTCTATCGAAAACAGCAGCAGCAATCTAGTAAGGCTCACAGTGGTAGGCCCTAAGGAACTACCTTCATTGCTCCTACTTCTGCAAGCATAGACAAGAACGAAAGCGTTTGTCGACCACGACCTTTGCCGAAGAAACAGTCAAGATCGAGTCGCTCCGCAGCTGTGGCTGAAGTGTAAGGACAAAAGAAGAGAAAAGGCCGCGTGACTACCAAAAGGACTCTGGTCTTGCCCTTACCTACTCTACCTGCTTCTGACGACAGCGTCGGTAGCGGAAGCGGTTTCCTTTCAGATCTCAGCGGGCCCATCGAGGCGAAGGCGCAAACGAACGAATTTCATAGAGAAGAGAAGGGTTGCCAAATAATAGGGCAAGTCCGTAGCTGCCGCAACCGTTCGAATGAAAACTACGAAGTATTTACTTATCAGCTACGCACATTTATATTTAGTCTTTAGTCCTTACCTCATTTGTCTTCACTCATTGGCCGTCCACCGGCTGCTTAAATAAGAAGCCTCTTTTTCACATCTCTCCCTTGCCATCTATATATACTCCATCTCTCTAGTGCATTTTTTTGAGTTTGTACGCACCCACCAGCCAGTAAAATAAATTCCACTAACAGTGATTCTCTGGACACAATTGCCCGTTCTCTTATGCTGTACGAACGTATCGAGGGACAAACCGCCCGCTTTGGACCCTATCGTACAATAGAGCGTTTTTGATATCGGCGGGAGCCATAGTTAATGCCCCAATTACTTTCGTTTGCTTTATCTTCGTTGTCATGTCCATTACACAGCTCTTTTAATCTGATTTAGCACTCTCATCTAAGCCTGTGCTGGTGACTCACAATTACCGGACAAATTGCCGTCGACTAAAACGAAGGGGTTACCTGCCGCCATTTTCAGCTTAGCAGAAAGCCAAAAGCATTTCCTTGATTTCATTATTGTTTCATTAACAATAAATAAATGATGCATATGCTATATGTCTTATCTGTTCGACCGGAGACGAGCAGCAACGTCACCAAAACCGTATACCGGTCGGCCCGTGGTGTGCAACCATTGTGGTAAAAACATGTACACAGAAAAAATTTCTATGCAAAAAACCGTATTACACCGCTGTGAGCACGCCTAGGCTAATTATATATATATCATTGTTGCCACTGTTATTTCGGTCGTAATGGCAAAAGATCCCTATTTTTTGGTCGGCCTTAAAACCTTGTCCCAGCAGTCAATAGACGAAATAGAGAAAAAAGCTGCCTTACTATCAGACAGCTCTACCCGGCCCAAATGTTCAGCAGGGTTGCTGGTGATCCTAGTGCACCGCCAATGCGCCTTCGAATGTGTCTTACATTTGGCTCACATCCAGATTCGAACCATCCTGAATGAGAATCAAGCTCCAGCTGAGAGCAGGTTTGCAGTTTCTAAGGGAAGATAGTCTCCACTTTCTGGGGGCGCTCCCGCTGCTGCTTTGGCCTTCCGACTGCTTTCATAAGAGCATCTGCTTATTCGGTCCAGCGCACGACGCCCACAAGAAATACTCGAGTGGATACGTTTAATAATAGGACTGTACTGTCTTTATATGCCCGAAATCACCAAACGCCTGTCCTGCATGAAACTTGTCTTGATTTGCCTTAGATGATCCATTTCTGAGGACGTTACTAAGCCTTCACGTCTCTGTGGTAGCTAATTACTCGTCATTTATTTTCGAGAGATTCTTTTACTTGAATTTATTCCACTCAGTTATCGAACACTATCACAAAGAACCACAAATGCGAGATTATTTCTAGGGATAAGAACCTCATTTATAATATTATGTAGGACATCCTTTACGGAAACGATGTCCTACATAATATTACACATGAGGGTTACATGGGCCAGAGTGAGGTTAAATTTTATGGGCCATTGTATTTCAAGCATACATGGATCTTGTACTATATATATATATATATATATATATATATAAACTTCACAAAGCGAACGAATAAACCTAAAACATCTGAGTTTTACTAAGTTAAATAGGAATGCGTATATGTATATTTATGCCAGGCTAAATAAAGGCATCGTAATTTACCACATATCGTTCTACCATACATCGTCGTTGCCAACCACGTGTCACCTGTGGTTGACTTTAAAAAAAATTCTGCGACTTTATTAGCATAACTCATTGTTTGCACAAAATAGTATCATCGACTATATTTCCTATAATCAAAATCGTATATCAGAATTACCAATGAGTAATTAATTATACCGGGATATGCATCGCCACGGAGGTTATACAGGCCTCACGTTGATTTTCGAAAATGGTGCGCACACTGCTACCGTCTTCATGAGTAAAATACAACTCGCAGATGTGCCATATTTGCGCCATGCAGCCGCCGGTCCTACGCTGTTCGGCAGAACTCGGTATGGCCACTTAACTTGGCAGTAAATCATTATGAGCCATTGATTCCTTTAGCCATAATCACAGTTCTCTTACTACTGTTGAGTACTCTACTTTTTAGCATGGCATCACTGGTGACCGTGATGTTTTTTGAAAACGAATGAATTGTTCTGATATCACTTGCCCCTCATAATAAACGGGTTTTTGACAGATGTTTCTGCTATTGTTTTCTTTCGTGGCACAGTTTACTTTCGCTGATCGCGTTAGGTAAATACTACTTTTTATGGGCCCACTTTCTCCTAAATATATATCTATATGTATACATATACAGTTGAATTTAGAAATGCACTATTTGTCACGCTCAGAAATACGTTTGCCTGACATTCATTCAAGAAAGCTTGTTTCAAGCGTATAAAATAGTAGCAGATACGTGGATATATATGGAACAGACGCGAAATTGGGAATATGATCGTGGAGTAACCACTATCCAGGACCTCTATCGAAGTTGTAAATATCCTTAGTTGCTTCAGGTTATCGTCTATATTGTTATCAAGTTTCGTAAACGTTCTGAAGGACTAGAGCTAAACTTCTACAGTTCTACAAAAGATGCACAATAAAAAAAAAATTGAAAGAACTTAAAGTTTACAAAATTAGAGGAAAGGCTATTTCGGTCTGTTGGGACGCAGAAATTAGTTACTGTTTTTGAGATTGCTCATCAAGTCGTCAATATAAGTTTTAACGCTTAGTTTTTTTTCAAGTCCTAACAGCTTTTTGCGCCTCCTGGTCATTTTGGACCTTTGGGACTTTTATGTCAGTGGCAGGTTACATTTTTCACCTTCTAGGTCATGTTTAAGTCAGAAAGTTAACCAATGTATACCAATACTGGGTTACTCTTAGTGATCGCTACAAAGTGTTTGCGAATTTATAAAACGATTCTGTGGGACCGACCTGTGAGCGCTTTAGTTCCCGGACCCAAGTTGTCGTCAAAGTAAACGGCAGTTGGATTTAACAAATACATGTATTAGGAATGTTCCTACCGGCCCATGCAAAATATTTCATTAGAAAAATCTATTTTCACTTAGACACAACATTGTAAGTAAACGCAGCAAAATTTTCAAACCCGTTAGGACTGCAGAAGCCCATATTACTTTTGATGCAATGTGCCTGCGATAATGATAAAGGTGTATAGCTTCGATATCAGCCGATTGTTTGATTCATTAGGTCCTACTTGAAGTAAATAAAGTGTTTTCCAAATTTGTTTTTCGGAATTACTTCGACTATTTCTAAACTGGGATGTCTTCTAGACTTTTACTGGGCAGTGATCCTGATTACCCCAAAAAAAGCTTTCCCATAGCCAAGTCTCACTAGTACTTCTTTGCTAGCTCCATTCTGGCCTTGTCTCAAAGGTAAAGGGCTGAGTACGAGCGGTTCGAAGGGATTGAAAAAGGGAAAACATTACTATATGCATCGGCTATGTCATTTGTGTTCGAACCTTCACTAGAAGATCAAGGTGTCTCCACATTTAGATTTAAACAGGTTATTACTGTCCTATCTCGTGCACTACCCCCCTCCACTTTTGTTCATTAGGTAGCAAACTTAATTCTCTGATTCAGGGTGGCGGAAAGAGCCAAGGAGCATTGGAATTTGCTGTGAACGAAACCTGGGTCGAAGACGAGTTTTTTAGATTTAGCCACAGAGAATGCAGCTTCTTCTTTCGAAATTTCGTCATACTCACGTTCTTGCAGATGAAGCAAAAAAATAAAATAAACTCCAAAAGAAAGCTTATTTTGAAAATCAATTTCTATAAAAACTGATTACGTTTCGTATTACCTATGACGCCAACACTTTCTACGACTAACTGAAACGTGCAAGGATACGTGCAGTTAAAATTATCACATTAATGGAAGACACGCTATTGCACGTTTTCCGTTACACGGGTCGATGTTCGCTCGGTATAATCTATATCATAATTAATCTGATCAGATCAACACTGAAATCGTGTAAGAGAGTGTCTCATTAAAATTTTAAGTATACTCCTCTCTGAAAGACTCTTCTCTAAGTAATTTTATATGCCAAATACTATCGTCTATACATACAGCTCTGGAGCACATACACATGATCGAAGCGGGTAAACTGAAAAGAGTGTTTATGTGTCAATAAATGTCGATTATTTCCTGTCTCAGCTCAGAATTACTGATAAGTGGACAATTATTTATTACTATTGTTGATATTATGATTATTAAAAACACGCTTCCATAAATTACGTTGTAGAAAGCGTATTCAACTGTAGATATTTCGAAGCTTCGCTAAAACCCACTTACTCTATGTTAAATAATCTATCAGTTCTGTCAAAAACGATTCTGAGCTAGTAGAGCGTGACCGCTAGGTAAAAGAAACATTTCTCAAAAATCGGAGCTTTCAGTGTTGACCGTAGCATCGCCAAAATGAATCAAAATAAATATATTTTTATAATATATTCATAGTGTTATGCTTAAATAACGGCCAGCTTCGATTGGGGAATAGTATTGCTTTATTTTGGATGATAAATCACATGCTGTATACGTCGTATGAGACTTATGCAAAAGTTGAATAATAAGTTTTTCAAACTTCGAAAGGCGAACAGTTACAACGATGATTTGCGGAACGCGCGAACTGCCCTTCCGCTTTGCTCGTAGCCCCGCGCGACTCCTCCTATTAGAGAAAGAGAAAGAGATCCTCTGGTTACTCTGTCGCCATCGTCTTGCAAACTTTTTTTCATGATTTGGGGCAAGAAAGCCTGACATCAACTCTTGGTAGCGAACATAATTTTTAATAGCATCTATTTTCCACTCTTCAGTAACGCAAAGAAATGAAAATAGCACGGCCAACCTGTCGTCATAAGATGTTACTAGTATCAAGTCGGCTGAGCGTATCGCGGGAAGGTCACAGCTATATCATACAGTATAGAAGAAAAAGACGTATAGCTTAGCCGCTGATTCTACCTGTGTATGTGCTACCTTGGATGATCAGAACTGAAAAGAAACTTTGTTTTTGTCTTGGGTTGTCCTTTATCGAGCCGTGTAGCCAGCCACTAGATCCGCTGCCAAATATGGAACGTAACTTCAAAATTTCGCCTGTCTATATATATATGTATATGTATAGATTAATTCAGACGACGTAAATCTTCACACGGTAGTGGCGGGTGGGCTAAGATATACGCAAGGCCGTTTCGAATCGCTATGTGTAGTGCCAGTGCTCTTTTAAGAACCGAGGCTCTGGTGCGATGTTATTGTTCAAAGTTTATTATAAGATCTTTTCAGACGATGCTTATCCTAGACGTTGCGGGTGGAACTAGCTAGTGGTAGAAGAATCTGAGAACGATTGCAAGAAAAAAACAATGGGCCGATCTGCGGCCGACATTGTTTTCCTGCACCTTCGATAACGTGCACATTTCTGCTGCTTGCGAAGCCCAAAATATGGTAACTGGTTAACACGGGCAAGAAACAAGCTAGTGAGGTACAAGATGCCGCTGTCCTGGGTTCCGTTCTAAACTTCATGACCTCCGCTTCGGTCAGTCATAAACCTGCCACTGCCGCGGAGAGTCGGGCTATAGCTTGCTGTATTCGGGGTCTCTTTCGATTAGTATGTCACAAAGTCGTCTGGATACAAGATGACTTCGACTGACTTCCTTGGCCCCATGTTTGATTAGGGAAACCCTTTACAAAAATGGAGAATAAGAGCAGGCTCAAGTTGTCTCCGTGAAATAAGCTAATTGCTTATGTCAAGACGGGAGTTCGGCTATTTTGTTACTAACACTTGTTCTGTTCTGTTACAAAATCGCAGCGAGAAGGTCGAGCACATTCATAGGAACACGCACTTCAACCAGCGCGAGGTTGTTCCTAGACGCTGACATCGAAGGCTGCTTTGGAGTCGATTAATGTCACGTACAGTGTATTGTGCGGCGTCGCCAGTGCTGTTTTTACGTGAGAGGATCGCGCACACCGTTTCTGTAGAGTATTCTTTTCGGAGCGTTTATTGCTCCGTTGGGATGGCATTTACGCCCTCTAAGTAACTGGCCAGTTTCTTAGTCAACAAGCAGATGAGCGGCTTATAACAAACGCTTTTCTCTGCCATGATGATGGCGTTATTGGGTCATCTTTTCTTGCGATGGTTACTAACAGGGTAGTATGTTTCTACTGGATTGCGAATGTACCACCGTGTAGGCATTTATTAAATGGTGCCGTCCACCATGGTGCCATAACGACAGCGCATTTGAGGTGCCCGTCGCAGGCCCTATGGCGTCCGGTGACTTCTTTGCTGTGTAGGCTCCTAAAAACCTTGCATTTGTGCCAGCACTGTGAAGTTTCGTTGAAGGACGTCGCGCTGATTTCAGATCCTTTCTTCATATATGCGCCGAAATATAATATCACGCGTGTTATCGTATCCTTTTGCGCAAATATCTCCCAAAAGTGGTTTATGAGGGCCGAGGAGCTAATCCGGTAAACCACCGATCTGCTGTGATGCGTTACGTCCTGCATCGGCGATCAAACGGGTCTGCAGCCATTCAAAGTTATCGCTGCTTTTGTGACATACGTTTTTTGACAGATCGTTTTAAAAACAGAGGAAAAAAGGGTACACCGTAAGCCTAAAAGCCATCTTGGCTCTCCGTACAGGTCAATAACTCTAGTTAAGCTACGGCCTGTGCTTCCAGGGGGACAGAGAGCCTCTACTTTAGACTGGAAAATTTCAGCTAGATGCTGCATATTTGTTTTGCTATTCACCACGTCAGGTACAGGGAGAACTTCGTAGATGCGTTCCAGGATCTGGTTCTGGCCATCTAGACGTCACGACAGAGATTGGCGTTTGACAGTCTGTGCAAATGCTGCTTGAACAGTGAGGTTTATCGCTATCGGTATGTGAGCACGAATGCTCGCGCTGTCTGATAGTGCACTATCCCTGGCCTGAAATTTTCCCCTATGTTCGTCACAAATACATCGATAACCGAACTTCCTGAGAAAGTCGATGTCGAGGAAGGATTGACCACCCAGTAACCAAAGTCCGCAAGCATGTCTAGAAGGGTGGTAGTGCGGCTCGAGATTGGCGTTCAAGTCGCTAGCAATAACCAAAGAAGAGGCAAAATGACAGCTTTTCCAGTCCACTTGCCTGTAGTTTATCCACTAGCATATACATTGATTTGGAATCACCCGCTCGAATACAGCCTGCTACAAAACTTAGTCGACGGCCACGCAAAATAATGACGTTATGAGTAAAGAAAACTGACATGCCTCAACTTAGGGCAGCTTGGCTCGCTGTTTTGCATCGCTGCACAATGCACAGAATGGAAACGTGCCAAGTTCATCTTCATATACGATTGAAAACGCCCAAACCCAAAGCCTATTGATCTAAGCAGTATATCGTGCTGCGAAAATCTGTCTCTAGGAAAGCAATATCGTGGCCGATATATTTCCGTTCCATACATCCTTACCCCTTTTCCAAAGTATCGCTTTTACTCCAAATCTCCGCAAACATCCTAAGATAAGGGGACAATGATAATCCGCGGTCATGAAGCCTATAGAATATGGTGTGCGCAAATCAGCATTCCTTTCAAGCACTTGCAGGACGGTTTTAACGATTTTAGCAATGTGTGGTCCAGCATTTTGTTTTGTTTGCTTGGTCCTTGTCCTGGTTAGCCTTATTAATTGATCTACACACACATCTAATCTTATCGACCGTCTCAATTCTTTTTGTTGAGCATTTGTCTATATACGAGGCGGGTTCAACCCCGCCAAATGTAACTTATGATATTTTTTCGAACGAAGTTTTCGTTTAATCTTGAACTTGGGCGAACCTCTCAGTTCTTTTCTTTAATTTGATGTTGAGATATCGCTTTTCATTACTTGTAATAATTCTGTAAAGAAATCTGTTATTATCATTGCGTGTTGCTTGGTAAAAACGTAATAAGAAATCGTCTCCACTCAATTGACGGAGCAGTCAGATTCCTAATTTTTTTGGTAAACACCGCCAAATGAAAACGGCTAATGACGACCGCATAGAAGCAGCTTGTATCCTAGATGTTCCTTTAAAGGCGTCTTCCAATGGTTCCCTGTCAACCTCAGACTGATTTCGTCGATCGAAAGGAGCTGTATCCTAGAAAGCTAAGATGTTATTTTTGGTTTCAACAAACCACTTCTAAGTAGTCCTTTTAGGGACGAAATTCATGCCGTGCACAACATAAATATCTCGCTACTTCGGTAGCTCTTTGACTCTGGAAAGGTTGAAGTAAAGTAGCCGTCAAAAGTGTGCCTTTTTCAAATTTGAAAGATCTACCTTTTAATACAACCTGCAGTAAACGCGCATAGTACTAATATAAGTGATATCAAACACTGTGCCCTTTTGTGGTTATAAGTAACATAGCTTCCTTGCCCTTTCACTTTGATTGCCATGAATCGGCCTCGCACCGTGATGATGTGATGAAATCGGCTGTTCACTCGGCCTGTTGTACAGATCAGTCCTTTTTTTTGAAGACGAATAGCGCCACCACCAGCATCATCACTGAGCACCATCTATATATACCCCATTGCATATGTTCTTTCTCTTCTCCTATATATATACACGTATGGGCCGTACTACAAAGAGATAGATTAGCTACCCTATGGCCTTGTCGTCTGCTAGCTCTCTCGCTTGCGTGCTCGTTCTTAATCTGTGCACTTGCCTTCGCCTGCACCTTCGTTTGGATCCGATTGTATAAAGCAAACTAGAACACTGTGGGCATTCGAGAGGGTGCCAGCCGCGGCGGCAACTGCAAAGACGAACCACATATATCCACAGATATGTGAACGTACAGTGAAGGACTCTATAGCAGCGAAAACCGCGGAGGAATAGATGGAACGATGAACAGCAAAACGTCAGATGCTTTCTGTCCTCTTTCTTTCTGTCTACGCTCTGCGTTACTCTTTGTCGTTATTTTTTGGCACATAACAACTACAAAAAACGAAAAAGACTTTTTAGGACTAACGCTGCAATATCGATAGCATCTAAATGCCGTGAGTCCTATGTAAAACCGGAACTGCCAATACGTCGGCCGGCCTACAACTGCCGATACTAGAGTTGTGTACTATAAGTCGTACTGCTTCTGCTGATCATTTTGTACGGCCGCTTTCTCCTATCATGTTATATTGCTACATCACATACAAACAATGATGCATAAATCTGAACAGAGGGAGAATACAACCGCTGGCGCTTTCGGCATCGGACTACTGTTTTGTTGTTATTATTGTTTACTTTGCGTACACGGTGTGTCTGCCTAGACAGTATAGACAGTGTAGTGCCCGTAGCGCAGAGCAGTGTACATTATTTTGCTCAAATTTCCTGCTTGAGAACCTATTCGGCACACACGGTCAGTGGGCTTCAGCATATCATCCTCCTTCTTATATTTACTTCAGATTGACTAAAAGAGAGCCTTACACTGCGTCTGCCTATAACTAGGTCTTAAAAGCAGTATTGCTAAATAAAAGAAGATGTAACTCATTCAGGCACGACGCGCCATCGTAGCGCTAATGGTTCCATATCGTAGCGGGGGTATCGATCATTTGTGTTAAGCTTATATTCATCAAACATTTGTCTATCGAATAATGTAATGAAGATACTGTGTGATTACTCATAAATACGATACATATTTCGCAATGAACGAAGGCCGAATTATGCAAAAAAAG